AATATTTGCACATCGATGCTTTATGAAGAGGATAATGCTGTGAAACTGCTTATCCACTCGTATCGTGTTTGATTCCGTATCCATCGTCCGCTAACTTAAGTCTAACGCGAGATCGCTATTGACCACGTTCGTGGATTTTGCATCTGAATTATTTGTAGTGCGGTCGTAGGAAACTACAATAATTAGTTAAAAATAATTGGTAAATCGATCCGATTCGGAGTATTTGTTGACGAACACGTAAGCTTAAAACTCGCGAGATTGATATTGAATTAATTATCGTCACTTGAGTTGGTTTGAGATTTATCAAATTTGAGATTGTCGTAAGTAAATATAACTTCTATGGGACATTAACATTGTATAGAGCGGTGTAACAAAAGATTTCTATAGTCCATTTCCAATTGTTATCAAGAATTTCTTTTAACCTGACCTATACAAATTGTTTCAGAAGATGCGATATTGATACAGTAAATTTATGAAAATTCATATATATCACCAACACATCAAAATCATAAATCGATACCAACTGTTTAATCCAAGATCTACATAAAAATCCAATCAGAGTTCCTTCTCATTTACTTCTTATCACGATATTACATCATCAAAGATTCACTTCCAGCAATAACGGTGCAAGGCCGGGCATCTTTTCCAAGTTTCGACGAACGTTACTAACGAGACGTTCGACGATGCTACGACAGATCGAAGATCCATCCTGGCTGCGTTTTTGCGACGATCAAACCTATCTTCTTTCCACGATATCGTGACATATTACAGTCTACAAGGGGGATCTTTTTCTACGATCTCAAACACTCGAAATCGGAGGGTAATTCTTCATTGTGCACAAGTGGAGGAGGTGGAAAACCCTTGGTTGTCGTCGACGTTGATTATCGCCCTCTACCACTGTCCTGAATCACTCGGAGCCATTTAATCCCTGACGGTCGATGCCCATGCATTTCGTTTGACAGCCGATACGATTGCTTCTGCTCACAGCGACACATATAACTCGTAAACCTTTACCGATCGTAAATGTTCCAACAATTATATAACGACCATTATTTTCATGCATTTACGAGCAAACACTGGCACCAATAGAACTACATCTTAGCTCATAACCCATCCGGTCGCAAGCATCGTAAATCTTGCCGGTTGCATCGATTCCGAGTATGCCTCGACCGTTCAACATGCCAACGTGTTTCTATTCGATGGGAAAGATCGCGGCAGACATCATGTTGTAGTCCATAGAGACCAACATTTGGAGTATTGGTGGTTCATGAAGTTTCATTAGTCAAGATGATTCAGATGTAATCCTTAATATATTCCTCGATCTCCTTATTCCTAGATTCAATAAATTTGAGGAGTATTATTATACTATGGTAAAAGAATTATCAACAATGTTATTATAATTAAAATCAATATAGTATTATTTTTCAGTTTTCAAGCATCTTCTTCTTTATCATTATTTATCATTATTGTTTCTCCAAGTTAAGGTTCTGATATCTGATTTTGCAGATAGAGAGGATTTTATAGAATATTCGAATAAATAATAGTTGTATACTCTAAACGCATACACGATAGAAATGTTTCGCAAATATCGGAAACATCAGTTTATACCAAAGGTTGTAAATGTGTTAACTTTCTTTATCGGGTCAAGAAATATTTCCCTTATCTCATGTTACCCCTTGGGAGTAACACAACTCTGTACGATAAACGTTGAGCTCGTATGAAGCGCAAAAGGTGGGACACAATTTCCTCTATTTCCCACTCTAACTTCTCAAAACCCAGGCTCTCCATGATAATTCTTTGTATTCTCAAAGAGCAATTAAAAAACATCTCCAATCATTATTGCAACTGTACAATAACGATATCAATTTTTCCTAAAATTCGAGTTTATTATATCTTTTCGCTGAGAAATGATTACTATCTCTGAATCGTGTGGATGATTTTCACGTGCTAGAATACCAGCAACAATTGAAAAAAGCTTTAATTTGGAGATCACACGGAGTCGAAGCTGCACCATGTCCTTTTGGCCTTTCACAATGGGGACGAGGTCTTCGCGATTCCCTCGGCTGCCCTATATACCGATATTGCGAGTTCCATATAGCATGTTCATCTTTGAAGTCGCGCGTCAGCTGCGAGAGTAAATATTTGGCAGTTTTGGCGTAAAAGTGTGTCGATGTTGCGTCGATATCAGGCCAATTGCTCGAAAACAATGGTCGAAGGAAAAACGATGGAAAATTTAGCAGTAAAATTATAAGAAGAACAGACGCGTAACACCGCCGTTAACCAAACTCGAGGTCAGCGTTTCTACTCGAGGAACGTTGAAAATGGTTATTGGACGCTTCTCCTCCATCGAACATCGCCGAGAACTTTCAGAAGACTATGGAAAAGAGGTCAACGTTAAACAGTCGACGCCCGATTCGGGCCATCAAGTTCTTGGCCAACTTTGACTAGATCTCCACAGGATCTTAAATATTTATACGCTGCCAGTATCCTCAGTCGCGCTGAAATTTTCAAGTTCTCCTTCGTCTCCGAGAAAAGGAATTCGTACGAAGCGCCCCGTTAAACTTTCATTTGCCCTAATGATCTTTCTGCAATTGATTCCCAACGCCGGAAGTATACTCTTTGTCGTCTTTCAGCTCGAAATTGCTCGCATTCTCCTAGGGATTACATGCGAGTCGATGGAGGGCGAACAACGCGTAAATTAATTAAAAGCTTGTTTCATGGAAGCCAAGGGAATTTTGGATGAATGTTCGTATCGCGTGATCCTTTGTCTTTATGGTTAGTCTGGTTACTTCTAGTTCACGGCAACGCGAATTTTGTTTCTGTAACTGTAAGAAGAATCGAGTCTCGTGTCTTGATTTGACTGGACAAATTTTCTGGAATATCGAATGGCAAATTAAATATGGTTATAAAAACAATATTTAAAATGATATTAGATTACTCGATAGTATTAGATAGATTATATAGTTATCGTGCACACATATGTTAGTGCTTGAACACCAATTAAGCTACTTTTACGATCCTTTGTACGTATAATTGTACTAGAATAATTTGTGGGGGATTCCGCGGATATACAGGGCGTTCTGAATGTACGAGAAAGGGAAATATAATGTATATTGTCTTAATCCCTTGCGACCACTGCAAGATAAACTTGACGGAAAAATTACATAATTGAGCTGGGTATTTATGAATCGTTCCTGAAATGAATGTAGGGCAGTTATAATGCGAAACGAAGACTTTGTAATAAATGTAACTTTAAAAGCAATATTCAATATCACAGAATACACTGTCCAATTTATCAATTGAAATTATTACTTACTGAAAAACTACAAATGGTATAAAATACTCCAGAGCATATTTGCAATGAGAGATTTTTCAAAATTAATATACGAACATTTTGTATCCTTTGATCGTGTTCCATTTCATAAAATACGTTTTTGAAACGAACTTAACAATTCTAGAAATTAACTTGATCCTAACCCAATCAGCATCTAATCCAAGCCAAACGAAAGAATCACATTCGTCTCGAAGATTAGTGCCCTTTTATATCTCGAGAGCATGATCCGCGATAACACCGGTGATTGCCCTAACGAAGCCGTACTGCACCTAGGCAAGGCACCGGTAATTTCCGGTTTCTTCGGATCCGACGTCGGTATAGTCGCACGTCGCGAAAGTAAAATTCATCCGTTTGAGACGTTTCAACGGAAGCTCTGCGCTGGAAGTAACTGAAGCGCTACGAATTCCTGCCTTCGTTTCTAATTACGATTTAAGCCGTGAGCTTATTCCCCGCCGTCGCGTCGTCCCAAAGTCGCCGTTTCTCAGCGCGGATCGTCCGACCAGAATATTATATCGTACTCCAATTTCCTGCGTCCTACGTTAATACGAACTTAGTCCGTTTGAACCTGTTGCCCCGACTGCTGTTGTCTTTAAATGTCTGCTGTTATTTTTTTTTTTTTTTTTTACGATGGAACGTAGCCGGGTGCTAGTCGTTTAATGTATTCCTGACGTCAGATGTTTCATCTGAAATTCCTGGAAACGCCTGATACACTGTTTCCAGAAAGCACGTTAATGGGTTAGCTAAAGGAAGTTTCTGGCGAACAAGAAGCTTTGTCCGGGAAATTCTCATAGTTCTGAAAATCTTCGAATTTAGCCAAAAATTGAAATCAGTAGGTGGTGACCTTTCTCGTTTAATGCGTACGATTATTACTCGATCGACTATTCTTTGTGTGAATAGTTGGGAAACAAATTATAAGTAGAGATGGATCAGGCATATCCTTCACTCGTTTGTTAGTTCGCTCGATTCGGTCGATTTTCACTTGATCGTTTGAGATGATGGCCCCCAGATGACGACTAAGATTGATGGAAATAGATAGTGTTTAGGAAATGATGACGGATGGAAACTTTATATGGTTGCAAAAAGTTAGGGGTTCTAGATCTTTTTAGCTCTAAAAACGAAAATTTATTACACATCCTGTTGTCTCTTATTATAAATTATAATATCCATTATAAATTGCAAATATGTCCGAATGCATCAATCTTTCTGCTTTTTATAGCAACCTACGTCTTCACGCTGCGAAGAAAGCAAATATAAAATAACGAAAACTACGAAAGAATATTCCTCGTCGTCCATTCTACTTTCTAAAATAGCGTTTCTCCATATCCTTGATACCTTACAGAATTGAGCATGCAATAACCACCGGATGACCTCTTACTTCAATTTCAAAATAGACGTGCAGCATATAGAATCGAACATAAGAAGAAAGTAAAAAATATGGATGTTTAATTCCAAGAAGAAACACGAATTTTCTCCGCATTAGTCTCTGCGCGTCTTCCAAGTCTTCTAAGTATTCATCCAACGAATAATAACGTTGATGGCAAACCGACGATAGGGACAAAGCGGATTGGCAGCGGAAGGGTGTAGGAGGCGCGTGGAGAGCGAGCTGAAGACGGGTAACAGGGTTGTATCTAGATGGCGCAGCTGCGAGAGCAGAAAATCGATACTTATCGTCTCCGACGAACAGCAGGCCGACTTTCCAGTACGCGGCTCGTGTGCACGAGGTAAACATGGCTCCCATGGCAATTAGAATGGAATGATACGTGGAAAAGCCTTAACTAGACCGTTTCTCTCTGATCATCATGGTACGTTGCGGTAAAAGAGAAACCGGAAAGACTATCTGGGACGGAAAATCGACGGCTGAACGGACTGTGACTGGCAGACGACCGATAGGACATGTTGACAGTCGATGGATGTCAATTATAATCGCGTGTACCAGTGACTAAACCGATCCGTTCGCTCGTAAATCATACACAGTCATGTTAATAGTTGACGTTTACCAATGTTCGTTCACACGATCACGCGCTAAACTATCGGTTCTTCTTCTTTCTGTCTTATGTGCAGTACGGATTTGTGAATTACGCCCTCGAGCTGCTGGTTGTGAAGACCTTTGACAGCGAGACGTGGGAGGCGATAAAGTAGGTAAAACGTGGGCGCCCGACTCGCTCTCATTCTCTTTCTTTCTCTTCGTCCCTCTATCGCTGTCTTTGGTGTCTCATTTGCTGTGTACACCGTGCTTGCATGATCCATCGTTCACATTTTTCTTCCTATTCGTGCACAATCTTAAATATTCGCGGTGTTGTCCGTTCGATTTCACGGATGCTAGTCGACATCTGTCGAGAAGGCTACAAGTTGATAGCGAGAAGACGCTTTGCCAGGCCACGTGGTATGGACTCCATGCTTGCCCAGCTTTATTTTGCTCTAGCGTTCCGATGTATATAGACGTATCTGTAGCGGGGTTCGGTGCATCCGTGACCCGAATCCCTCGCATTCTTTAATTGGAAATTCGCTGCCTCAAGAAGATATTTCTTTTTCCTCGCCCATTGCAGTACTAGCCGGAATTTATATTGAATCTTCTGGCCAATGTGATTCCATACAAATCGGTGAAATGATTGAACTTCCAATTCGACTTGAAGAATAAACGCGACGAAAATGAATTTCGTCGATAAATTTCTTTGTGGCGGTTTGAACGTCATTCTTTCTCATCTTTTCCTTGAATTTCTCATGGAGACGCGAATATAATGAACCACACTTTTATTCCTTATGTTTTGCTTGAATATATGAAAATTGATGCTTGTATTTTGAAATATTAAATACTTTCTGCATCTCTTTATTGATATCCTTATAAATATTGCATCGCATATTTATACATATTATATACGGAAAAGTACACGTTTTGTATCTCAAATTAATATAATCGTTTGTGAATTTGCGTTTAAATACACAATGGACTTTTCGAATACCTGTCACGAACATAAAGAAACTGAAGCTGACCGAACACAAAAGCAGGGTCTAAAACCATGAAATCCGATATATTTATACAGCTACTAGCACTTTTGTTCCACCCACAAACGATTTTGCTATTCTTTGACATATTGTACCATCGCCACGCTCTAACCGCCATTAAGAACACTCGAATGTCACCCTACATTCTACCCCATCTCTCTTTCGTCCATTCAAATGCACTCAACGCCACCATTTTTACTCTTCCAGTGTATCAATCACACCCACAAGCTACATTCGCACCTGTACTTACATAAACTTCTTTTATTGCCCTTAAACACCCTATTCACTCTCAGAATAAACCCCACCTCTAAAACTAAGCTCTCATATATTATACCCTAAAGAATTCCACCCTCTCCCGTAAAAAGCGAAATATAGTACAAAACGCACACGTATGGACACATTCATATATTCAGTTCGTCTAACTGTGAAACAGAAAAGGACGTCGAGCCTCGGTGACTTCTTCCATCCTTTTCATTGGATCAACAAGTTCGTGTAATAAACTTTTGTTTACCCGATGCTCAGGGTCTATTGATTCAACGATACAGCCCACGAAATATTGGCACGCGTTTTGCTGTTTACCGAGCGGTCGCCGCGGACCACAGGCGAATCCTTAAATGCTTGATCGGGCACACCGTATGAATGTTTCGCTATTTACCGATCAAACGGTCCCCTGGGAATCGTTTGATGCGCCTACTTATTTACCAGGATTAAACGACGCTCCTTTCTTTTAAACCAACAACTACGGCTTGCCGAAAGTTTGTCGACCGTGTTAGAATATAAAAAGAATCGTGTAATTCACGTCGAGGAAAACTTTTTACGTTCGTAGCGGTGGAATTCCTTTTCCTGATCGTATTCTTAAACGAAAAACTGGTCTTCTTACCAGGCCCCCTTTTTTATCTTCTCGTAAAAGAACGTTCCTGCGGGTTGCCTGGCGAAATTTATGTGGTGAGAAAAGTAAGGAAAGACCGAAAGAGAGCAAGAGGATGCTAAGACGGGTTTATGCGCGAATATGCGAACGTGACTCGATAAAGTCACGCGCGAAATTCCCAAGCGTTCCGGAAATGTAACCTTCTTTTGCGGTCTTCAAAGGTGACAACGTGGACCGCGCGTCTTTCGAAGTTTCAACAAGTTCACGTAGTTATTACGTTGGTACACGTGACATGTCGTTTCTTCGGATAAAACTTCGTGCAGCAACTTCATGTTTAAATAATTTCTACATGATATTTCATATATCTCTTTCAATATTTTAGATTTACAAGAAACAATTTTCTACAGTTCAGAAATCCTTTAAATGTTACTTTTCAACGATCTAACTTCGAAGATACTTATTTACGATATTAAGAAGTTTTGTAAGAGTTCTAAATAGTGAATATTCGTGAATGCAAGATCGAAAATTTAATATTAATTATCATAGCGACTTATAACAAAATTCCAATATCTCTATTGTAAAATTTATTGTTATTTGCTCTCGTCTTTAAACTCCTGAGAACCATTTAAGTTAATCTAGCAAAATTAAAAATTTCGTATGGCCTTGACTGCGTAATACTCGTGTTGCTTCACGGTTTGCGTTTTTTTGAATACATGAAGAGTTATTGCTCGGCCAATGCGGCACGGTCGGTCAACTATGCGTTTCGCGATTCGCTGAGATTTAATTGAAACTGGCTGGCGACTTAATGTACAAGAATTTATTGTAGAGCCGGTTCGGCCAAGATTATTGGTTGATTATGCAACGTTTTATGAAAGTCTGATTTCCTGTGCTTTCATGGAAATGAACCTGTTTATTAGTGAGACATAAGCTGTTGCCAGGATAATTATTATTAGCGGAAATTGGTATGTGTGACTTGTTTGTTAACATTCGTTGCTTTCGTGTATTTTTGTTTAAAATCTCATTTCGAATTTATTTCATTTTATCGGTATTTATAATCGAGGATGACGATAAGTGAATAAAACTCATTTAAGTAGATGTTTAAATAAGTGTGTTTAATAACTTATCTGTTCTTGGTTAATTCCAGCTGATTGGAAAAATAATATTGTCTTTGTTATTTAACAACATACACAACAACGAATTTAACAATATTAATACATTGTTATAATAGTCATGCGTTATTGATCACGTAATGAATGCACGTTGTACATTAACACAACCAAAGATATCGTTAAATGCAATCTCGATAAATTAAAGCTAATGGAGGATTAAAGATAGAGAAATTAATTTTGGTAAATATAAATATATGTATAGTACTTTAAGATGATAACACACACTTCTTATTTCGATGTGACATCAGTGATTTTGATACAAATCATACGATGTAGGTAATGCGGGTAGAATCAATACTAGCTTTTCTCTTAAATGAAAGAAGTGGTTGTGACAAAGTCCCAGGAGAGCAATGTTGTTTGTTGGAAATATATGAGTGGGAGGTACGAAAATGTGGGTTACCCTCGGTGTAAGATACCACAATGACTCTTGAAAGATCCGGGAAAAAGGGTCACTTTAACCGTCCTAAATCACATCCCATCGTCATCGCCGTGTTTGTAAACTGCGTGATGTAATTTCCGAGATCTTACTGACGCAGCTCGCTTCGCGTAGAAAATATGACGGTGCTTGTCGCTTGCGGAGTGTCCTATTTTCGTAAATCCATACACAGGCGTGGGTGCAATTATCAATGACATCAAAGAATGCATTCGGTGAGAGTTGGAAAGATTCTTTGCTACGAAAAGATACACAGGTCTTTGAAAGTTATTTTTTATCTCTTTTTGACATAATTATTGACATTGTAATTCGGTTGCAGCTGTGGGTAGAAGCTGTAAAGTAATCCTGTGCTAGTCGCGATCGTTAAAACCCATTTTGTAATTAATGTAATATATTTGAACGTGGATTTGAAACAAAGATTCTCTTGCGCTTTGTAGAGGATTAAATTAAATCTGAAAGATGATCTCTACAGATATTGTAATATCCTTTTTTTGTTCCTATATTCCATATATGTTTGTATGTCTTTTATTGTCACAAAATATTACTATATTAAAATAAATGAATGATAATTAGATGTAGAATATATCAAATTTATTATATCTATTTAAAAACATACAGTATGTTGTTCATTTTTTAAATATATTTAGATTATCCGTAATTACCAAATATTTTATTTTCCCTTATATAATAATCTGAGGCAATAAGATATTACTTGATATTTCCAATTGTTTATGACCTGAAAATTTATTATAAATACACATAAAATACCCTTCAAAGATTTTAACTTTATGTATATCTAAACACCTTAAAGTCCTCAAGCCTGTTATAGTACACTCCACAGGCGTCAAAGCGAAATAATCTTGGTGAATGGAAACGCCAATATTATTTTTGCGGTTCATTTAAGATTGTATTATGGTCTTTTGTCGATCGCTAAGAGCCTTCGGGAAGTTATGCGAAAATGCTGCGGCGAGCTTGGAGTGACAGCTCATATCCATGTCAAACGGTGAAGTGCCTTTAGACTGCACTTTGTAAATTTAATGGAAACCGAGCATCTGGTAACCTGTTAAAATGCTTGGCTTTTAGCTGCTAAGAAGTATTTACTTTATCCGATACGCGAAACTAATTAATTTCCTCTTACATCGTCTACCGCCAAGGCGAACCATCATGATGCGACACGACGTGAAAAAGAAAGAAACGAACCTTTGCCAGATTATACAACGACACTTTCAATTTTCCCAGATTTCTATCCTCCGTCGATAGAAAATAAAACGACGTGTTAGCCGTCCTTTCGAAACTTTAATAAAATCGATGCTAGGTCGCTACGGTGTTTTAGCTCGGAATTGGCAATTAGTATTGCATTACATTGCCAAGTTTTTAATATACGTAGCAGGAAAAGTATCTCTGCATGGAAATTTATCGATGGAACGAAAGTTTTCATTTTACTGTGTATCTTTATAACAATTTGATATAATAGAGTATTTATAATAATATAATAAGAGTTAGAAATTTAGAAAAGTTTATAGAGATATCAATGAAAATCATTGTGGTGCAGGTCAATACACTGTCGGTTTTCAAAAAAATCTGTTACATTTTCTTAAATCCTGAAAACGTACCGAGGCAGATAATACAGATATAGATACGTTAATTAATTATGTAACTTTCAATGTTATGGGATGATGTTATGGGATACATCGCTATAAGTTTCAACCCGTTATCATGCATGCATCCTTAAAAGTCGTATTAGTGTTGTGGTAATTATAATATAATTATGATATAAAGATTAATGTTTATTTATATCTTGTTCACTCAGGAAAGATGCCGCGGTTAACATGGAAGGACAGTTTCTGGTTCGTCAGATATACGACGATGAAATTACATATAACATCATATCGGCAGCTGTCAATCGGCTCAGTACGTATTCTTCTTTGAATTGTGAATCTTTAATTACATTATTGTGTCGCTAAAAGAGCATATTCTGGATGAAAATTTCATAGTATCGTTACAAAAGGTACCATTAAGGAAAGTTAAATAATTCGATTATGTAAAAGAAACACGAAAGCTTGATTTAATAACAATCTCTCATACGATACTGGATTTTTTAACAGAGATCTCTTTAGCGTCTAATCCCATTAAGATTCTTGACTCGCATTCAAATAATTGCTTTTATCCCTTGGTTTCAATATTTCTGCTTCCTCAATTAAATTTTCAACAATATTCAATGCTATCAAGATGTTCAGGGATTTCCAAACATTTTTACCTTATCGCTGTTATTTAAATTTTTGTGCAACGTGTAACTTGATTAAGGTTCTTGAATCACTCTAACATTCGCGTTTATTATCCTTTTCACAAGGATAATTACGTTTCCTTTGATACATGATTCTTGAATAGTAAATTAAAGCAAAATATTTCTTTAACGCCTTTTATCGCGTAAAACTATTTTTTTTATTTGCAACACAACTATAATATCATTATACGCTTCGTTGAACATACATTCTTATCCAAAATTACATTCTTATTCTAATCAATTTAAACTTCAATGAAAAATTTTACTTCGCTTCTCAATTGAAAACGAAATACTAGTGATAACGATAGTATTACATTCCCCACATTGAACCATAAATCCTCGGCAGAAACGAGAAAAAAGAAAGAACCAATCCCTTGGAACCTTCACCTCTATAATCTCCCTCGACGAGCAATTTGTCGCGAGATATCGAAGTCGTAGCTAATCTCTTTTCTGTACAAGAAAATCGACATTCCTGCTCGAATATGTAGCGCAAGGTGTTTCTGGAACATTGTAATATTATCCTTGATCGACGGCCGAACGACGTCGACGTCGGTATCGGTGGTTCCCGTTTAATACGTTAAACAGCGTTAAACTCGGAAAATCAAATTCCATGGAACATCGATGGTATCGAGGATATTACGGGAAATCTTGCAGACATTCCAGCGGACGAAATCCTCGAGCTGTTCGGCAGGATGTTCTTCGAGTTCTGCCAGGATTCCGGCTACGACAAGATTCTCCAGGTGCTTGGGGCTACGCCCAGGGACTTTTTGCAGGTAAATAGCGCTTCGACACGCTAGTTTGCCGCCATTCACTTTCCTGCGGAATAAGATTGCACCGGTAGACCGTGCCCGGGATTCTCGCGATTCCATGCGGATCGCGGTGAAAGTTTCCTGAAAAAATGACACGTAGGTAGATCGTCATTCCCCTTAGTGTTATGTACGAAGGCCATAGATGTTCTGTTACGCAATGCGATAGGATTGCGCAAAAAATTGGATAGAGACGTGGGGACAAAGAGAAACTTATCGAATACTCGCGTATGATTCAACTAGGTTCATCGTAACTTCTTCTTTCGATTCTTTCGTTTTCAAAAGTTTCAAAAAGATGGAATCATTTAGGCTAGACGATTAACTTAACGATACAAGGCCTCGAATAGGTATGTTAACGAAATGAGAAAGTACATCTACATGATGTTATCATTTCAAAAATAAAAGAGACAAAATATTATCTAATGGTGAATAACACTTAATCTATGGTATTTTATTGCAATGTTAGGAAATGTATTGGAATGTTAGGAAAAGCATAGAGATCAGAACCTTGTCTATAGCAAAGAAATATTTTAAGCCAATAAATTAACCGTATTCTTTCACAAGTTATCAGATCGATATACAATTTTCATATTTCCTACGATCTATAGCTATCTATAGCTGATTCAAGAGAACATCGTCTCTTCTTGTTTATTTCTGTCCTCGTTATTGTTCATGCGCGTATCCGACAATTTCGATCCTTGTATCAGGCACGTAGCGTTTACAACGTATATGCCCGTTGTTCGGAACTCGACGCACGATTTGTTCGGGAAAAATGCGTCGCGCCAGTCCAGCAATTGCGGCAACCTACGGCTGAGTAATCAAACAAAAAGCGCGTAAACCCGTTCACATGGTTAGAATACGAACGCAGGATTATTGCGACGCTCACTGTAAAATGTTTTTGTCGCGCCTAGCCGATGCATTATTGTGATTTCTTTACGGCGTTCCAACGACTGAATCATTGGCATGTTTCTCTTCGAAATATGCCAGATAGAATCCAGCGAGGTTAAGTATATGGAACGGAGCAGTAATGATAGCAACGCTGTGAATAGAAATGGATTCCTTGGGTAAAAGCGAAAAAAACAAAAAAATAAAAGATTATACCTCATTAGTTCTTCTTCTTTATTTTGATTTTTTTTTTTTTTTACATAGAACATTGTCTCTTAAATAATGAATTCTGAAAGATCATCGAGCGTAGATTTGACAGAATATAGAATCTAGGTTATTTCATAATTTGCGATATTACTGGAATAACGTCAATGTATAAAATGTATGAAAGAAAACGCATAGTTATTATTTATATGTTTAATATTTATTCATTCAGAGAGGAAATATTACGCACGGCTGTGGTGTTTGAATTAATTACAGATTCATGAATTCTGTTTAATATCTCCGCGGTGTTTAGTCATTCACATCCAAACCACTACCTCCGGCACGTTGAACATACGGTTTTGTTTTCGTATAATTATGAAAGACATACATTACGTAGTTACCGGCGAAAGATACAAACTCTAAATATAATCGTATGCATATCTTGTCTTCAGAGCAAACGTGTTTCGAAATGAAATCTTGTTGCAAGACAGTTCTGCGATTGTAGTATTTAACTATAGACGTATTTGTGTCATTACCACAGATATGTAGTTCCTTAGGTTATTCGTTTCATTCATTAAATTCTTGTGTTACGACAATTAAAAAGGTTTAAATTTATATAATGAAATATATTCGTTTATTAAAATTTTTCCAACTCAAATGTTGAAATGTATCAAAATTCCTCGCTAGATTACTATAATGAAAAGAGATTTCAAAATTCAAATTTCACACGGAGGTAAGCTTATAGTAATATTTGTTGAATCAAAATTAACAACCGCCCTACATATGATTCTGTCGCGATTCTTACCATACTATATTTCGAATAAGCCCATTTGCGCTACGTAAGAAATTTCGTTCACGATGAATGTGCGCGACGCGATTAGCAAGTGGAATGTAAGTAATGTGACCGCGGATCAGAATTATTATCGTTTTTCCATCGCGAGGTTCCATTTCCGGTTATTTCTTGGCTCGAGACCGTCACGTACGAACAGTTAGTTCTCGTTCCGTTGTACGAACTTGGAAAATTTCGCGTTTCTTATATTTCCTCGTCGCTTGGATTCCACGAATATAGGCGCGATCGAAATTAATGGCAGAAATTGAATTGGAAACGCATAACGAGTATTGCACGATGAAATGGCGTGCATTGATCACCATGGCTGGTTGTAACGCAAAGTGGCAATCGAAAATAAATTAGGGACATAGGAATGTTTTAGTTAGGCGGAACGCGATGTTCGATAATGGCTAGAGTACAGATAGATTGACAGGGGGCCGTGTAACCTTTAATTACAGAACTTGGACGCCCTTCACGATCATTTAGGCACTTTGTATCCGGGAATGAGGGCGCCCTCTTTTCGGTGCACCGAGAGACCAGGGGATGGAGCGCTCATATTACATTATTACTCCGATCGACCTGGTTTGGAACACATTGTGATTGGCATCGTCAAGGTATTTTTATCGTTCAAAGATATATCGGGTGAAAATTGAGCATCGAAGTTTGTTAATACTTAAAAATGCAATGTTCTTCATTTATGGTCTTACATTTTTGCAATTTGACGTTTTTTAAATTACGAAGTAGACTGCGAATGTTTATGAGTTCATAGAAAATTCAGATGTGCAAAAATGGACAGAATGCGTATAACGTGCAAGACTGTAGAAAGTGTCGAAATTGAAATAAAATTAATGAAAGAAATCTCGATCCATATCCTATTTCTTTAATGATATTAAATACGAGCACAAACAGCAATTATAGAGATTGAAAAGGATGGGAAATAAAAGAGAGTGGCAGTAACTTCCACAGCACGAAGATCTCGTGCTCTATTTATCCAAATCTAATTTTCCGCCATAAGATCCTGAATTTTGAATTGCGCGTATTTTAGAGAGAACGACTGTGTCAATTAACCAACCTGTAATATTTAATTTCCACCCTAAAATTCATTCAGATAAAAGCAAACGGTTATTAAATCGGTTATAAATTTTATCGATCTTAGACCGTGGCGAAGAAGCTTCACGGCACGGATATAGAAATGCGGATATTGAAGACGAAAAACGAATGCGACCACGTGCAGTTTTTGATCACGAACACGTCCGGTCCTGGGGTCGTTTCAAATCCCATGATCGCGGAACTTGAAACCTTATCTGTCGGTGAGTAATGCTTTTGATACGTCAATCTTCTATTTATAAAAATAGACGGCATTCTACTTTATATATCACAAAGATATATCTTGCTACGAGCAAAGGATATTTCAGAAATTAAAACGTCTAAAAATAAGATTAAATAGGAATTTTGTTATGTTGCTAGTGTCAGGTAATACAAAGTCCATAAACGCTTTATTAAAAGGTTGTCATAAGAATATAAAACTCTTCTTCTTGGTTTTATCCAACCCGTTATGCATGAAAAGTAAAAAATTAGCTTAACGAACGCTACCTCCAACAGTAAGTTAGTCGAGGGAGATCTCTCGGTCCCTCAGGTAATTTTTTTGAGCTTACACGACGGAGCTTTAAAAGGAGAAGTTTGCAATATGAAATTAATCGAGAAAATCAATATTGCATACAACGAAGTTTAGTCTGTAATAAATTCAATGGTATCAAGTTCCTGTGGATTAGTATATGAAACTCTTTGATACTAAAGCATGGGTACAGGATTTAACTTTGCCTTTTGTATTTATGTTACAACCTTTTACTAAAGTATTTATAGGCATGTTAATCCTAGTTTTTGCTGTGTCCTTGTTCCATAAAGTCAATGATATATCTGGAAAAGAATAATTTTTTAGAAGAGTAAAAGATCAATTCCATATAGACATACTTGATTTAATGTCTGATAATATTGAGAATAAAGCAGATGTTAGCATATTTTGTGTGCTCTTTTTTTATTAAGATTAGATATCTCTAAAACCAGCAAAGCACTGAAAGTGATAAGGACAGATTTACTAAAAATGTTATGAAATATATGCCGTAGAACCAAAAGTGAGCCCTATGACCTTTTGCCGAGTTTTTCCATTCCATCTGATGTTCAACCGGGACCTTACCATAGTTCAGACTGGATGCACTATAACTCGAGTTATCCCTCAAGTGTGCTCTGGTAATTGCAAGTTGAACGACATCCTTCTGACTGTAAGTTCCCACAATTATAACTTATATGGACGATGCATGAAGTACTATCGATATCCATGCTATTCCAGCCACGTACATTTTGCAAATCTTGCATAAACTGCGATGTTTATAATCATCCTGTAGGATAACATCCATAAACACAAATTTCAAGGTTGACGTTAACTTTGGTTTAACAATCTGTGTAATCTATAATACATAAATATTTGAATACTGGTGGGAAGCGTGTTGAACATCTATTATAACATTTTGTCAGCGTTTAATGAACACTATCATCCTGCTGATTTTAGTGGCAAACAATAACTATCTTACTGTCAATTATTAACTATAAAGTATTTTATTTAAAAAAAAGAAAGAATGCCATTGTGGAAATTTGGAACTTATTTTGTCTGAAAATATGTTATTTACTTCAAACGATATGACTCTTGTAACCATGACAAAGCCATTAATTATTTTTCGGAACCTTGCTTTATAGTCTACGTATCTCATTTCATAAATATCTAGATGTTATTCATGGAGGAGCGATATAAACTCGAGAAAAGAAATGTGTCATGTGAAGCACTATCTAGAATCGCGATTTAATAAAAACACGCGAAGAAAGACAGACATTACAGATTCTGCAATTGATCAATAACAATTTCTTCTATCTAGACTAATCTAGAGTAATAGATCTAAAAGAAATCTGACGTAATAGAAAGATCCACGTCTTGGGCTATCAGATTTGTAGGTAAGCTTCCTCTTCTTTTTACTCTTTTTGGTACTATGTCAATGATAGATAACAGAATCGATTCACAATGTAATATCGACGTAATTGTGTTTGTTTCTTCAATCTGGAAACACATGTACCTCAAAGATATCAAAGATAATTCGAAAGACAACTTCTGAAATAAGTATCATTGCCTTCATATGAAAAATGTTGTAGTTATTAAAAAAAAAGATTCAAAATTATTTTTTATCCTTTTACAGATGTATGTTTTTTACGATGTGATATAAACTTATTTATTCAATTCCATCGTATCATTAGCATATACAATTTTTCTCAAAATTACTTTGGGCTATTCATAGTTTGTAAAACGCGGTACAAAATATCGATTCAATCGGAATTCTGTAATGATCGATGCACAAGGCATTAGCGAAAAATGTTTTATTCCCGAAACAGCACATTAGTTAGCACGGACCACGAAATTGCGTTACTGTGAGCCGCGCATTGGCCACCAATGATAATTCGCATGGATTCATGCACGCATAATCGTATATCTTTCAAATACGGTTTGTTTCAAGCGACATGACACGAGCTATTGGAACGGTACCGTTTAACTTCATTTGCATCCGTGCTCGCACCTACATCCACGTCTGTGATCCATTATCCATTCATTATTAGCCCTCGATCGTCGTTGATATTTCATGACGCTGCTGCCTTCAGAAATCGAAACAGAATCCCGTTGCACGTGCATAGATGTATGGAATAAAGTCAATCGATAATTAATCAAAATTCTTGTCGTTGATCTAGATACATATTTATACACGTTCACAACGATAAACGTAATATCATACTAACTTACGAATTTATGACTTGTTACGGATTGCAATAAAGTATCAGGAAGTACAATTCGATAAAGGTTGAGAATAACTATGTATGTACGTTTTCTGATCACAGTATAATCTTAAATGTATTTTATATGTCTTTGATGTTGCGAAATAAATCCCTAGCTTTGTTGTCCTAGGTGAGACCACATTTAGAGTTAACATTCGAGAACATATTGTCACACATCAACACGGTTTACGTGTTACGAACGAAAAAGGGTGTAATGCAAGTGGATTCTTCCGAAGAATATTCGTACCTACGTTTGAAAGTTAGTATATTTTTTAGAATATTAGAATTGTCTAAAATCATTTGTTGGTTCTAGGATTTTTATAATATAGTAAAATCGATCAAATTATATATTTTTTTTTTAGTGAGGTTTAAAGAATCTTTATTACCAATGCTTATGAATGATTGAATATTTATATTTATAATATTTACCATTATATTCCTTATAATTAGTAAATAATATTTAAATCGTAAGTGGAAGAAGATGAACTATATTTCGTTGTCACGTGCAGGATTATTACTTTTCCAGGGGCAAATGTTGTACATACCTGAGTCAGACCTCGTCACCTTTCTCTGTTATCCTAGCGTTATCAACTTGGATGACTTAACCAGGTAAGAATTTACATGAAGTATAATCATTAATTCAAACTGATTCGCTCTATGACGAAGAGAAATTACATTCTGGTTGGTTGAAAATGAACACATAAACTACGATTAACAAGGAAATTAGACGAGATAAATTGGATAAGCGATCAAAGGTTAATCCAAATTTAATCAAATTCCGAATTCAAACGTCAAAATACCACTATTCAGGACTTGATTTCATCCGATTAACGTATCAAAGTCGCGTTGATTAACGACTCACGTTTCTCCTGAGCATGTTAGCGCGACCTCGATTTGTTAGAAATCGAAGAGCACGATCGTTCACATCCCATGATTCGAAAATTTGCCGTCTCTATCGTTACGGTAATTATATCACGCCGACTGATATCGTTATTCGTGCGTTTACGTTGATCCATACCGCGGCGCAATTATCGAATAGTTCCTAAATTGAATTTCAATCAAACCAAATAGCGCGGCCGTACGACTATGATCAATAACGGGACGAGAACGCATTCATCGTTGTTAGGTTTGGTGACAAACGTTCTGAATTCTATAAAAATGACTACGACGTCTGCATGCGTAAGTAGCGACGAAATAAATGGCTGTCAAGAAAAATGCAACGTGATTTTCCGCTGGAAAAGCGATTTTCCACTTCGGTGCACAGAAACCGACATTTCGGTTTCGACGTTTATGGCTATATCGCGTATTAAAATTCTATCATATATCATAAATATTATATAAGTAACTGTTCTCCGAAGCAAGAAAAAGGAAGTTGTGAAAGAGGCAGAGAGGAATGGGAGAAAAGAGGAATAAAAAGAGAAACACTAAGGGAAGGAAAAAAATGAGCATTCGAAGAAAATAGGAGAAAAATAGGAAGAAAGGAAGCATTCCAAAAATGGAAAGAGCCTGGTTAACGTAGCATCTTTATACTCTACTTCCTCATTATCAGATGCTAAATCTGCTTCGTCACAACTCAATCAAGATGTTTCGCCTTGTCGTAAACGACCGTACCTTGTCCAAGTTTCTCTTTTCACAAACGCTAGATTATCAAAGATTTTAATTAATTAGATCAACTATTTCTTTGTCCTTTATAAGAAAATGTCTGGAATATTCATCCCATAAAAATCAGTAAAAGATATCTCATCGTAAGGTTTGATGATTACGAACCATTAACCAATTTTCATTTAGCCAAAACTATGTATGTACTTTAATTTCTCAGTAGAGGACTGGCATACAACGTCGATATAAAGTACAGGATCGAACCGAAAGAAAATCTCGTGGAGAAATATGAGTATGTACAAAGAAGCTCTTGTTATACAGTAAGAACAAGACAATAGAAGTATCTCCTTTCAAGTAGCACAAAATCCGTATACAAAGCTTAACTCAGCCGATCTTACAACTTTCGGACACAACGGTATTTAGGTCGTTATCGTAAATAGACGCAACGTGTTAGATGGCTGTCTAGTGGACTTTCCTATTAATTCATCGTAGCCCATTACTCTGTCTTTGCGCAGAAAATATTTGTCTCCGAGTAAAATAACGGGTACACTGGCCATTCAATAAATACTGAAGCGATGTATAATTACAGCTATTCGAGTGTCTGTCCGTACTCCACTACGAACATAAATTTCCGTCAAACCTCTACCGAATTGCCCTCGTTCGAATAATCTTCGCCCTTGCTATTCTCGTAATTTTCCTTCTCCCTTACAGTCGACCATTCTCTTCTTCGTCCATGTCAACTTTTGCTTCTCATTTCCTCTATTTTGTGCTCCAGTAACAGGGAAAAATGTACGAAACATCGCGTTTATCCGCATTCTATCATACATTCTGACCCGGATCCCTTCCGATCTGTTTTCTGACCGAGTTCTCCGGAAATCGAATGTCTCACGGAGAAAATTCAGTCGCGTAATTGACACGTCAAGGCACGAACATACCGGCAAAACATGTTCATACACAGTGCTTGCAAAATGTTCGCTGATGTTTCCTGACCACTTTACAAAATATTTTCTCAAAATTGTTCTATTTGATTCAGATGCTTCGAAGGATTATGTTTCGCGAACATATTTATGAACAGGATGCAAATGAAAAAATGAAAAATAAACGACGAACTGTTGAGGACGCATCAGTGAAAATACACTTTTACACGATATATAGATCATTTTCATGCGAAATTATATACACGCCGTTCTCTCGATTCTCATGAATCTCTCGACGATTAACGTCAAGATAATTCCTCCAATAGTTTGAGTTGACTAGGATTTAGTCGAGCAGAAGCGTCAAGGTAGTTAGCAGATAAATTTAAAGCTTAATCGAGTTGTCGCCCATTACTCTGCCTGTTTACCGCGTTAACTTCCTTTTGTAACGAGAACCCAGTAGCGATAACTCTTGGAGCATTAGATTAGGCGAGAATTACGCTCACCGGATAGATTACCTCGTTTCAGTATGGAAAAAAATTACGGTTCGTCTAGGGGAATAAATTTTCTTTGAGAGAAATGACGAAGTTGTTTGAGTGTCGTGAGTAAGGATGGTCCTCCATTTTAACGAACCTCAAGGGTGCATTTTTGCGCCGCGTCATTGGGTAGTCTTTACCGTCAGCAAGCGAGAGCAGAGAGATGAATTATACATCGGATATGATTGAATGCTGAATCTCAAATGAGAACGATTAGAAGTGTCGGAGATAAATTGCAGCGGATTTGAAGCCGCGGTTTCCATGGAAAGTCATAAATATCGTTTTACGTGACGTATACGGAATAATGCATCGTTTATTGTCGTATCGGTTATTACTTTTTAAATTATTAAAGTTTCGAGGTATCTCCATTTGCATCGAGATGTTTGAGACTTCTTGTTATCCTTGAATGAACAATAGATTGTAAACATAGTTGAACAGCATTGGATCGAAGAGTTATATACAGGGTCATTGGTAACTGGTGGTACAAGCGGAAAGAGGGTGATTCTACGCGAAAAAAGAAGTCGAAAATATAGAATAAAAATTTTTCGTTTGAGGCTTTGTTTTCGATAAAATCGACTTTGAATTTTCGCTCGGTACGCGTGCACTTATCACGTCTCGTTATAACTTATAAAAATAAAATCTCAGTGTAGATTTTTAAAAAAATTAAAAAAAAAACAATTTTTTTATTCTATATTTTCGACTTCTTTTTTCGCGTAGAATCACCCCGTTTCCTCTTGTACTGCTTGTACTTGTATAACTCACCGTCGTTCGAAAATTTAGAAAAGTTGAAATTACTTTGCAATCTTGTAATCATCGTCACATACCTCGTTTCAACACTCGTTTCTCCTTACAAATATGTACGTTAATGTGATCGAATGTTCTATTGTTTACGTTCATGTATTTTTGATTGTCAGGCGAGGTTTGTATCTGAGCGACATCCCCCTTCACGACGCCACCAGAGATCTCGTGCTGATGTCAGAGCAATTCGAGGCTGATTACAAATTAACGAGAAACTTGGAATTGCTTACCGATAAATTGCAACAGACGTATCGTGAGCTCGACGGCGAGAAGCAGAAAACCGACAGGTAAGGATTTCCGTCCGCGTAATTTTCTGATTAAGGAAATCCCCATTGGTCTCGTTTGCCATTTATCCTGACGCAATTCTGCCGGAATCGACTTCTCTCCAGCGTCGTTACAGTTTCTTTCTTGACAGAATACTCTCTCCTACCGGAAATTGGATCGTGATTTTTTTCTCACCTTCATCGGGAGGTATTTTTTAAACTACGTCTATTACGTCGTTGTAAAACGTCAACGACATGATCGTGACAACGAAGCGTCTTGAAATAAATTTAGTTTGGATGGTGTGCACGATGAATTTAAAGAATGATTAAATTTATTTCAATTTTGATTGCACTGAACACGTTTAGATGTTTTAATCGAAATAGACTTGTTTCAATAAAGAGATTAAATATTTTAGCAGTGTATTTATAAACACATGTAGAGAAGACTTTATATTCGGTATGACGCAGGATATATTTTCATCGTCATTGTAGTAATACGTTCGATATTGAGTATATTTGCGTTCCAGTCAGAAAGGACATATTAAAAAATGTTATAAATACTTTCATAAAAGATATTAATATTTATTTTTTATGAGAATTACAGCTACATTTTCCACCTGTTGCCCTCGTATGCATTGCATACATGAAAGTAGGTCGTATCGTACAAAGAATTTTTTGTATCGGGATGGGATAAATTTGCTATGTAATTGGATAAAAAATGTTTAAACCGTCAGAAAAATTGCCTTTCGGGTGATATAAAAAAGAAATTTCAACAATTTTTGGCAGTTTATAAATTTATGTGTAGCATTCTTTCCATTTAATATTAATAAACAACTGTTAAGCGCGAGATATAAAATGTTGATTTTACATAGCAAATAAATTATATTACTCTAATTTATTCCAGAGATACAGAAACATCAATTCCAGCAAATATTGTCGCAGACAATGGCTTCCAATACATTAATTCAGCATGAAAGATTCATCAAAATTTCAATTAAGTAAAATAACAATCTTTACATTTTCCTTTGACTTTCGCATTTTTAAGCTAATTTAATCTCGTTTGACACATAGCGAGATCGGAATCAAAACTTCGTAAAAATAACTTCCATCTTATTATAAAAAAGGGAGGAAAATGCGGAGGCTTGTTCGATTTATTTTCACGATTTAGAAGATGCCAACGGAATTAGCAATTCGTGGCACGGTGGGTTGTGGTTGAAGGGAGCTGCATTAAAAGTTGTACGTGTCCGTAGGTTGTTGTACTCTGTGCTGCCCATTTCCGTGGCGAACGAGCTGAGGCACTCGAGGCCGGTTCCTGCGAAGAAGTATGACTGCGTGACCTTATTGTTCTCCGGGATCGTTGGTTTCGGAGCTTACTGCGCCGCTCACACGGACTCCAGTGGTGCGATGAAAATCGTCAACATGCTCAATCAGCTGTACACAGCGTTCGATGTGCTCACCGATCCGAAGAAGAACCCAAATGTGTACAAGGTAAGCGTTTACTTCGTTGAGAATCTGTGTCGAGTCGAACTAGGTTTTCTGGATAATTCCGTACTGAGGCTAAGTAAAAGTAGTACTTTTTAGTGTGTTTTTTTGTATTTTCAACGATTTAGGAAATTTTACATTGCAAGATGTATTTGATAAAATAGACTTGAAATGACTTTATATTCTATCCGATATTCACGCAATTGGTAATTCATTTAGATATTAAAATATCGAGATATTTATTGTAGAATATTTACTAGATATTTGAATATTTATTATATTATTATTATAAAATATTTTAATATTTAACACTAAACAAATGAAGTTAAGTTAAATTAAGTCGGATAAAAAAACATTGAATGTGTTATAAGGAATAACAGAGAAGATTGCAACAGGATGTATATTCGATTACGCAAGATAATGTATAATTTGAAAATTCGAAAGTGACTGATACGCTTGAAGAATAATTAAAGGGTTCAAATGCAAATGAAAAAAATATTGAACGTTTGTAGTTCCATCGGAATGGAACTTGGAACGTAACTTAGATCGCGAATGGTAGTAATATGGAAAGTGCGCCTGCATGGTGTAACATAAAGCGTTCATGGCGTCGCAACATATATTTTTGAAAGGTACTTTCGCGTTGGAAAGAAAGTTTTCTCGTAACCCGTGCCGTTTAAAATGCATTAATGGATGGTTGTGAGCAACTCCGTAGGAAACATGAACGACAGCCGTTAGGAATACTGGCTATTTTAAATAATAATACCGACTAGGAGAAACTTTTTTGTCCCCTAGGACTTCCTTTCATGTGAAGTGCCATAGTCGGGTTTGCAACTTGTACGAAGTCCATTGTAATATGCAGATGATGCTTTATACGTAGAATAAGTACTAGATATAATCTCCCTTTTTTCTTTCTTTTATGAAACCAGCTCCGAATTCCCTTTCAAAATAGTTCCCTATATTGCAACGTTTATACTTACAATTATAGTAGCAAATTTAAAGAAACATAACGCGGTTAAAAGAACGATTATTAACTACGGATCATCGTAACAATATTTTCTAAATACTTTTTAAGTTTATTTATTATTACATAATTTCAATGCACTTTTAATTAATTATAAATAATTATAAGTATCTGTAACTCCACCTAAAACAAAATACGGCCATCAATATATATCTTCTTCTTCGCTTTTCGAAAGGAAATACACATTGTTATCGATTTTACTTTCGACGAGAATATCGTTAGAAAGCTAAAACGAGGATTCGCGTATAACCATTATACAGCTGACAACGAATATATTTGAATTTACGAGAAGGCTTGTTAGCACTGATCCACTTTGGTCGGACTAGGTCGAAACTGTTGGTGACAAATACATGGCCGTGAGCGGATTACCGGAACCATGTCGTTGCCATGCACGGTGCATCGCTCGTCTCGCATTGGATATGATGGATCTAGCCGCGGACGAAGTGCAGATCGATGGCGAGCCTGTGGTAAGCCCCATATTTTTTTATGCGTTCGTTTTGCGGCCTTCAATTTTTATGTTTGCGGGTAGGACCTCTTCGAATGATAACATCGATCCTCGGGGAAACATTTATCATCTCTCTGTTACCACTTTACCACCAACGATATCACCAAAATATTTCTGAATTCGAAAATCCAATGATTAATTTTCTTTCTCCAATAGCTCGTAAATATCGTTTCGTATAATAATTCGGGAATAATTCTGAATGATGAAATTATATTATTAAACGCGAGTTTTTGAACTTAAAAACTTTAATTCTTAGTTAACGCGTAATGAATTTGAAATTTATCCGATCTATGAACTCTCTATTGTAACTTTTTCGCTCGAACACTTTTTCATTAATTTACAGGCAATATGTTTGGAATTTGATCAATTCCCGCTACAATTGATGTTTCAATTTTTCAAATAATTCTTTCCATTTTTTAAATTCAAATTCCTCATGGTAAACGCATCGCAGAATTATCAATCGGAATTCACTTTGTCTCCAAGTACTTGGCTAATGTATTTATTCCTGTCAGCAAAACAACGAAATAACAGAAAATACTTCTAAACGAGTTAAACGTTCCCCAACTTGACTTTTCAATTGCGTTTCGTGGAGCGCAGTACGGAGACAGGTACGCGAGAGATCTCTTGCATTCGATTATCCGTAGAAAGACTCTTGTTCTCCTTCCTGAATGTGCTCTTCCTGTTCCTACGCGAAAGCTTCCGCCGGTAACGTTTACGTTGTCGACGTGATGCGAATTCACATCGTTGTATATAAAGAAGACCCGTTTAATAAACGTGCGAAATGTTTTGCAGAAAATCACCATCGGCATCCACAGCGGAGAGGTTGTGACCGGGGTAATTGGACACCGTATGCCTCGTTACTGCCTGTTTGGAAATACGGTGAACCTCACCAGTCGAACTGAGACCACCGGGGAACCGGGTAAAATAAACGTCTCCGAGGACGCATACAGGTACGAAGTCATATTAAATTTACGGATTTATGGTAATTACAGACTATTTTCGAGGCTTGCTGGCATTGGAAAAAGTCGGTGCTGAATTTGGCCGAATTCGTGAAACGCGCAACCGGAATGTTTCCTTTCGAATCGTAAGCGGTTTATTTTTGAAGCTTTTACCGTTGGGATTTCGCTTGGGAATTCGGCCTTTTATTAAAGAAGGAAGGAAAGTTAAGGGGCTTGTTAGAGTAATTTGCAAAGTACTAGCAATTTTGTTTGTTTCAGAGTTGCTCTTTACAGATTAAAGCGATGACGAAATATTTTCAATCGCAACGCGTTTGAAATAGTAGAACTGCAGTTATTCGTAATTTGATTAAAAGGTTTTGCAATTTCACAGAATATGGAACATATCTGATTGAAAATTTATATGAGGTTTTCCGTTGTAATCAATAATTAAAATATCTCTTTTATCTCCAATAATATAGACAATGTTTGAGATCGAATTCAAATGATTTTACAAAAGAGATATCGTGAAAAAGAAATTTCTTTATAGTCATCTTATTATATGTCATAAGATAGTCATCTTTTTTCGAATTTTGTATGATCATTGTTCTGTTTTTTATGAAAGTAACTATATAGTGTTTGCTGTATCATCTTGTAGAAAATATTCAAATGTATTGAATTGACCTGGAACAATCCCTCGAAGCGATATTACGATAATGTTTAAACTTGTTATTTATATTAATGAATGCTCAAATTAATATGTTTCCTCAAACGAACAATAGTGAATTGTTGTGTGCCTTTCGAACTATGTCTATTATTAACAATATATCACCACCATGAGACGCCAATTTGTGCATTTATCAAATACGTAAACAGTAACTTCGCACATTATACTAAAATTGCTTTGGAAGTTAATCACTTTGTTGCTGGTGCTTTAGTTCGTGTTGTGGTAACAACTCAAACATTATACAGTGCATTATAGCACCTTTAGCTAAATACTTATATCACAGCTTCATAGAATATGTTACGATAAAAACTTTGGAACTTTTGTAGGATACTCTCTTACATTATCTTGAATTATTGAAACTCGAATAGTTGGTAAACGATAGTTAACCGTGTCCAGCAACATTATGCTCAAACGAATTGTTTAGGGAGAAGGTAATTCAATTATACGAATTCGGGAAAATCTAGGAGGGCTGTTGAGCTATCATCCCCGTGGGAAATACATTGGACGCAGAGGGATAAAATTTAATGCAAAACGCCAGTTGAAACAGTTACATATCTGTCAACTGATCTCCAGGGTATTTTAAATTTCAATATCACTGCTGTTCGCCGAGACATTAACCATACTTGATGGACACGTTAACGTCATGAAAACAGCGATTCGTATAAATTATACAGCAACAATTTTGTCACTCTTGCACCGAAATTTACACAGAGATAATTTATTCCTAGTTTGTTCTTCGTTAAAACGCTTTAATCTATTTTGGTTAACACAGTGCACTCGACTTCGTCGCAATATTTCATAATGATCGTAAACTCTGATGGCGCAATACCAACAATAGGTAAGAGTTTTACGAAAAATGTAATCCACTGGCAAACTCAACTTTCAGTCGCAACATAGCGTACATATTTGTGGTTGCATCAAAGTGCGGAATTTATAAATTGAGTTTTCTTTCGTGCCAAGCGTTTCGCAAAAAGGGGAAAACATTTTATGAAAACGAACGATGTCTCGAGTGATCGTAGTTGGTATATAATTTCTCTTATTCTTTGCATTCATTAACCTCAGGATATTATCATGTATAATTATCGTAGACCTATTGAACCTAACTTTCCCTTAACCTGCCACGACTGTTCTGTCTATCACATCTGAGTGAAAACCTTGCTTCAATCGACATTGAAATTGCTTCGATCCGTTTACTTGGAATCGTTGGAATTTAACGTTTTGAATTTCACTCGTTGTGTTCCACTATTCTTTAATAAATATTTCTTTATCGTTGTTATTCCAAAAAACTTATCGCATTTTCTTCGATATAATCTTTGCAAGCAGATTTATTGCCATTGAAGAAAGTTTTAGAAAAAACAGGAATAAATTATGGTGCGACTATGCGATATTCAATGAACAAAGCAGAGATCAGATTGAACATTCTTAGTTGTCCAGTTTTTATGTCTACTTTTCATCGACCCGCGAAAGCAAATATCGTGTCGCTGAAGAATGACATGCTTTTTATCGGCTGATCCTAGACTTTTCTCCTTAATTGCCGCATTAAACGTCTAAGTTAGAACAGTACTTTTTCAAAGTCAGCATTTTATTATTTGGCAGAAGTTCGTGATAAATAATTTCCTTCCACTTGAGCCAAGTATTTATCTTAACTATCTTAATATCGTTTGTAAGAAGCGTTACAAACTTTTCCAATAACCGAAAACTTAAAATCGTTAAGTAGTTAATACCGCGCAGTTCCAAAAAATTCGTAAGGTACTAAATTTTATTTCTCAAACCAAGTTTACACTGAAATAAAAATATTGGCCACTAATAAATAAAAAATGTATAGAATATCGTTTTTCTAAACCTTGAATCATGCTCAGTGAAAGCATTTTGTACGTTATATATCTGTCACACTTTTCTCTTCCATATTGATAGAGTTTGATCGTTTGAATGAGAAACGCCATGTCACTGTTGTGTACGTATTTTATCATATCGCGAGTTTAAGGTAAAATATCCCGTATAAAATGGAAAAGTCGATCTACCAGAATCGAAATTTATACGGTCAACCTGTTATTATATGACGGCAGTTCGATCAGGAAGTTCGATATAGGTATACAACGGTCCAGGCACCGTTTGAAAGAAATTGCATCGAAAGTTACGAACAGGTTTAAAGCATTTTAGCGAACAGGCAACGTATGCATTTTACGAATCAAACTCTTCGAAACACACTTCTGTTAGATCGTGTACCAGTTCGATTTCATCCTGCTCGAACAACTTCAGACGCGTTCACAGAAACTGTCTAACTGCGAGTCTCACAATTGTGTATCGAGTGACCCATTTTGTTCTGTAAATGCGTTTATTTCTTGTATCTTTCTTTTCAAGGTGACCAGAGAATATGAGTAGACGGAAAATATTATATTTACAAAATAGAAGGAAAAGAGAAAAATGCACGAAGGAAAATATTACGAGTTCTGTAATTTGTACACATGAAATTTAAACTTTGATACCTTAAACTATATTTGATAAATTTTATTTTATTTCAGACAAACACATTATCGCGTAGAATACACGTAATATTTGGATTTTCAAATATCTTAAGGTCACTTTATACGTAACTAAAAATGTCCTAACTTATATCTATGCAACACACACAACACATACAGCACGTACACGGATAATTCGGAAAGGTTCAAATACACTTTGAGTAACTTGAAAAGCTGAAGTTAAAAAAACAATCATTATACGCATATTATAAGGCACCGATCGTAAGAGTTCGAAAATTCATTGAAACTTACTAAATCCATTTTCGCACGAAACAGATCAATTTCCAAAAAGCCTATCTTCCGAAATACGAGATCTTCTTTCGAAAGATTCGGAAATCCAATGATTAAAGTCTAAGCCCATTCAGCCATGAGGGGTAACCACCTCTGCACAGTATCCTCAATCACCGAGAAGGTCCAAGTAATTCCTCAACGACTCCGGGATTTGAAGCTTCTGAATCCCATGCGGCAACGCCCAGTTCTCGAACAAAGTCTCTCGGATGCGACAACGACAAAGATGCCTCAGTTCCGGCGGACTCATGCCACTTCTCTCCGGCGGCACCAACTTCTGCTCGACCAGAGTTGGGTACTGTTCGTAAATGGAAACGCTGAAAATGCCGCTCTGCTCGGCTATGTGTCCAGGCGTCTTCACGAAGGCAGTCGTCACGGTTCTCAGCACGAGTTTCAAGCAAAGTAGCAAGTGTTCTGGGAACACAATCTGATCTTGGCCAGGTTGAGCGTCGTACTCGCTCAGCTTGTTCAAGAGCATCTCGAGCGGAGAGGGAGCCAATTTGTCAGACTCGACCGAGGCCCCGTAACGGAGCATGATCAAAAGAATATCCGGAGAGCCGTGTTGAATGGCCACTCTCAAGGGCAACGCCTGCCCATAAGACTCCATAGGAACGTCAATGAATCGTCGTTTATCGGGCGAAGACGCGCAACGATACTCGAGTCTTCCGACTGTAGCGTGATGCAAGAAATACATTAGAGCTCGAAGATTCTCTTCGCGATCCTCGAAGTCGCTTTTCCAACCGGACAGGAAGTGAGTCACTCGTGTACCGAATATGGCCCCCACCAAAATACGCTCGAACGTTTTCTCGCAGTAGAATATGTCATTGAGTAGTCTGGAGACGATCTCGTTGTTGTTCAGGTTCCAGTCGAAACAAAGTTTCGCTGCCACATAGAGCACGTTGTGGAACTTGCCGAGAAGGCACACATAGCCATTTTCCATCATTGCGATGTTGTGATAGCGAAGGGCAGACATTACTATCCTCTCGCAGACGTCTTGCTTATCTATGTTTTCTGCTGCAAGTTTGAAAAATAATTAGATTCTCTTCTGGCGAGGAAAGTTTTGTTAAAATTTTAATCAGAGATGCTGTAGTTCATTGGTTATCGAGGATCGAGAACCGTGATTTTTATTGCGGGAGGGAATACTGTATTGAACAGGAGGCTGTGCTCAGTGGGATCTAGGCTAGGTTCGTGTATGATAGAATCTAGGTAGGTAAGCGGAGAGTCGCTCGAAAGATATTTATGTTCATTGTTTCTATTAATTAACGATTGCTACGAGGATGGTTACGTATGACGGTTATCGGGGTGAAAGCAGGAACTTAATAGTAATGTTATTGTTTCACAATATTTCACGATGACTGCGCAATGTTTCACTTCCTTAGAAATGTAAGATCTTTTTATAACATGTTCTAAACTATTAATCTCTAGATAAAGACAACGAACGATCAATATTTCAAGAAATATACTTAGTCCTCTAAAAATTTTCTTCTATACTATGAAATACTTCAAACTCATATCTAATTAAGATAAGTATATCGCAACAATTAATAGTACTTTTCATCAAAGATAGTTCTTACTATTTCTATATTAACCAAATTTCATTCTCTGTATTTCTCCAACCGATATACGTGGTTCTTCCAATTCACCGTGCGAATGATCGAACAACACAACTTGCGAAACTCTCTTTTCACGGATAAGTAATTCCATTCGCGTCGCTTCGAGTGGTCGGTTTGCATAATTTTTCGAGGAAAGTAAAATCATATGGAAGCGAACGATGCAAAAGTTTCTCCCGCATATAACATTACGTAGGACCACTTTCTTTCCGGTATCCTCGATCGAGCCACTTTCATGGTCACACAATATAATTTCTAGCAGATTGCTGGACGAATCCTGCGATCAGTGAATCGGAAACGTTCATCGAAGTGCGTTGACACGCTCCGCGACCGATTTGAATCGATTCTTTTTAAACCCCCGTTAGGCATTACGGTAAATCGCCAGTCGAAATCCTATTAAAACGACCTATGATTTTCTAACTCGTCTCGACCGCTTTGAAAACAACGAAGAATGTTCAGAATGTACCTGCCGAACAGCTATTTATCACATCTGAAAAATAGCCAACCATCTCGCGACGTTTGTATCGAGAGGCCAAGCAACTGCGTTCCATTTCAGCGAACAGCTTGTCGAAGTAACAGTCGATCAGTACCTCCATATTTTCTTTCTATGCCCGATGGAAAAGCTTAAAGGACGACACGCACTGATCCCGTGTCAACAAGAACGGTTTAAAACGTGCTAGCAAACTATCACGACCATTGTTCACCTCTGAATAATGGCTGATACAAGGAACAACCGTGGAAACGAGAGAGGGATAATTCGATTAGACGTTAAATAAGTATATTCCAAGGGCTTCCCCTGTTCAACTACGAAGGGGACAACGAGTAGGTTCGTAGAATAAAGGTTTCAACTTTGTTTGCCGGTGTGGGGGCGTACGTAATTATGCGTGAGCGTTAGGTTCTGGTAATTAAAGATTTTTGATATCAAGTGAGTTTATAATTTGATTATATAATTGATTAGATGACGTTTCTCAAAATTGTGATACGCAACATACTTTCTTTAGAAATGTAGGCCTAAGATGAATATTTTAATGTTGTTTTGAAGACGAACTATTTTATTATCATTACAGATATCTGTGCATGCCGGAGAATCAGGATCCCCAATTTTTGCTGGAGTACAGAGGGCCTGTGTCTATGAAGGGCAAGTCGGAACCCATGAACGTGTGGTTCCTGTCCAGAGAAAGGGAGCTACCTGCGTAAATTTGCAATCGCTGTGGCGACCGCCATCGTAGCAATATTTTTACTACTCAGCTCGAGCTCTCAATTCATTTAGCGCATTATATAGAAAAATACGATTTTTACGGTTCTAATACTCTATAAACGAGCGTTCTTCAACTATCACACAAAACACAAACTGTAGAAAATTTCTTTGTACGGTACGATATTTAATTCTAGGATGACTTCCGTTAGATTCAACGCTTAACCAAGTCCCTCGATGATTTCATTTTTAATAGATAAGTTTGAATTATCAAGTTAAGCCAATGTATCGATTTGAAATTGCAGAAGAGAAACCGCAGCGACCGTCACGATACATGAGTAAATCACACGATAAAAGTAATCGTACGCTTTAGCGAATATTGCGAGAGGAAGATGGAAATTTCCATGAGATGTACCCCTTAAAGCAACAAAATCAAACGGAGAACGTTTTCTACCAGCGAATGTCACTTCGTTAGGTAATGCTTGATTCTTCGGTTACAAAATTTATTATTTGCATTTGTCAACGTCGTTACTCTATGGAATATTTATCAAGTCAATAGTACCACGTCACGAAAACAACTCTCAAGTTATCAAGTTACAAGCACAACAGGACAACCTATTATATTATTCAGAAGTCCTCCTAGGCTTAGGTCGTACTAAAAATGGTTCCTTGTTAATATATATCATCGTCCATACGGCGATCTCGAATCTCTACGTGCATTTGCCAACTTAACGACCAGTGTTTACCACTTGTAAATGTAAGAGGCAATCAAATATAAATGTCACCGATATTGGGTAGCGTGTCCACCGATAGTATGCGAAATTTCTTTTCCCGTTTCACACCATGCAGGTTGACCGATCGTCGAGGAGCCACGTCAGAGGTCGCCAGCGTAAAATGACCTCACCCTTAAACGAAAAAAAAAAAAAAGGAGAAACGAGTAGAGACAGCCTCTTGCTTCGATGGAATGCTTCGAACGTGGAAGGTGTAACGGAACCTGTTCTACTCCCCAACACGTCCCACGCACGTCGCAAGGTCAATACATCGAAACTTCGTGCACAACACGATCGTCGTCGATGCGGCACAGATTCCAACGATCATTTTTCCCTCTTTCCTACAAAGAATATCTCAATAAAACGCTTCATCTTGCGAAAGTAATATGCCACGCTTGTTAAGAATTAACCGACAGTCCTGGTTCTTTTGTATCTTTTACATCATGTGCAACGCGTATACCAGGTATTTTATTCTATTTCATACTTTTCGACGACTGACATTTCTCAAGTTGGTGGTTTCGTTGCATATCGTTCGCTGGAAAACGTGATTTTCTACAACTTCCATATAAATTCTAATTAAACTAATGGATCGCAATATATTTAATTGATTCTGTGATTTGTTGTTTATTAGTTACGCGTGTGTAAACCCGGTTCGAAATTACGTGCGTAATTATTATATTTATCGTGTTATTGAAAATTTGAGTCGGTTCTGTATGTACACGGAACTTAGTCGGTTTAAACTCGATCTTTATGTTTCAACGTCCATTTAATAAGGTTTGTAAATTGCGTTACAATATTTATGTGATAAGTGATAATAATTATGGTACAACTCTGTGAAGTTAAGAATGCCTGTACGTACTTATTATCATAAAGATATTTCTGTAAAATAACTGGTTACATTATGATTATTACGTTCTAATAATAACTTGTAAACACGTAACTACAACTAAACTTGATATTTATTGGGCAATATGTTTTACTCAGCTTGATTAATGCTGCTTCGTGCAAGTGGTAGGGTAGGTACGTAACGAGTATTATCTATTATACGAACCAGAAAGAAAATTAAATTATTAAATACGACAATCTTTCTTTCTTGTGTTAAGCAAACTATTTGTAGAGAAATTTTGTTTGATAATTTCAAAAGTGGTACCAATAACATTAATCCAAGCATATAGAATATCTACTAAACACGACAGAAAGTAGTTTGTCTCAATTTTGAAGATTTCTGATTTCTATCCTAGAAACCAACTTAAATTTGCAAATGCATATTGAAGTTCACACATAAAACTCGTTTCTTACTAAACCACGTTCGTAAGATATCACACGTTGCGGACCTTCGTGCAAACTCACAATCAGACAGGGATCAAGGAGTAAGATGAAATAAGATTAAAGAGTAAAATGGAGAATTCTAGAGCGTATTATGCTTTCCTAGACACGCTGGTTGCATGTTGTTTTAACTGTTTATAAAGTTGCTTAGTCAATCGCATACCGCGGTAAGTGGTATGCAGAATACAGGTTTCATAGCGCGGAAAGAAAGGCGAACGCGACTCAACTGGTTTACCGGGTGAGGTATGTGGAAAATAAGGCCAAATAATAAAGAATAAAAGAAACATCTGACGCTATGTGACTAACCGATCGATACCAATAGCCGGCATTCGCACGAAATCGTGATTTAAGTGAAAAAAGGACATTGAAATTTACGGTACTGGGAATTTTCTAAACCACAAATCAGCCGTTCCCTTTTTCTTCTGTCATTCCGGTGAACGTACAGCCGTCATAAATTTTCCACGCCACTGTAAAAACGTTAAATTGTGCGCGTTAATAGTAAATTCGGCTGAATCTTCGTGTAACAGAAATTTTAACTCTTAAAACCTATCACGAATGAAATTACATTTCGTGTGAATTTTATTGTACCACCATAATTATTTGGTACATTTACTGAAATATTACAAACGGTAATTTTCCTGCGCTTCATCTAGCATTGGATAAACATTTAATTCCGCTTGATTAACTTTATCAACTCTTTAATTGAAATTAACTATGCTCCGGTGAACTTTCACCCATGATAACTTTTAAGGGTTAAATATCGACAGTCGATATGTAACCGTGATATGGATATTTGGAGCACGGTACTCTTCTAATATCGCCTGTGATTTCGAATGTACGTGTGTACCCTTTTAGAGTTGCGATATTCGAATTCCGTATCTATCCGAAGAAGATACTCTTCCTTCCTCGAAAAGCGACAGTTCCCCGATCGATTTCTACTTATTTGAATAAAGATATCCGTGTTCGCTTATAGGCACGCGAGGTGAATTAGCGTGACATTACTTTGCTTTCAGGTAACTGTTACTTATCGGGTGAAACGGGTGGAGAGACAGATAAATTGTGGAATGATACCCTCTAAGAATACGAGAAAACGAGTTGGAGTGAAATAAGAGGGAGAAAGATCGAGAACATAATAATGTATGAAATTAACCTAGATAATAATAACGGTATCAGGGTAAGTGTGGGTTACGGTGTTAAATTTGTTATCAACAAATGATGACATCTCTGCTTCTTTTCTTACAGTAATTGTTATTTTAATGGACACTCTTTGATTGATTTTTCTGGTTAAAAATTACCACGTTCTAACTGTTCAACGTTCGCGTATTCATTTGTCAATGATCTTACAAGCGAAAGTTTTAACACTTTCTAAAAAGTCAGACATGCAGAATTTTGGCTTCGTAATTTTATTAATATAAAATTTAGTTTGTGAAAGTCGGAGAATATGTGTATTGAATGGAGATCAATGAAATGCATAATCGTCAAGCTAAATCTTCCTGCCTTATCTTCCTTTCGATTGCGATAAAATATTTTATTGCAATAAATTATTGACTATAAAATGTTATTTTCTTCAGTGGGTAGTGAAAGGTGTACCATTTCGACATTTTACCATTTTTATAACAGGAACACATTCAGAACGTGTATAGCAAGTTGTACTAGATTTTAATATAAAGTGCACATAAAGTCGGCCAGATAAAAATTTTGTAATTAAAAGATAAGTAAACGTACGAAATATCAGTTACATAACACATAAGTTGACAGTTTGTTCGATGAGTAGAAAATATCGATCAATTTACTCGGGTAAACGAACTTTCATGGAAACAAACCGATGCTTTAGTCTAACAAAGTTCGTAATAAATGAGATTAAATGTTAATAACCAGGATCCTCATTCATTATGCTAGGCAGGTCTCCGTAAATGAGATTAAATGCGTTGAACCTCCTAACAATCTCTTTCCACAAGGTACTCGTGGGTCTCGCTAAATGGCACTGCAATAAAGTTGAAAATGATGGTTGATCATGTCGCGCGTACCAAGTGCTCAAAAGTTCTAATAAATTAGCTTAACTGTAATAAAACAACAGTACCACTTGCCAAACAGTTCGGTTGGCTGATCATTTAACGATATAGATAACTGTTCCTGTTTGTGGGAAAGTTTTGTGATAAACTTAAAATAATAGAAAATACACTTAAACGCAATAAAGTAATATTAATAATTTACAACCACTTCGATAAATAATTATCCAACACTATATATAAACATCCAACAACATGTATAGGTATTCTTCTTCGTAATAAACTTCTGCAGTACGTAAACTAAAAGTAACAGAGACATATGTATTTGTCAAACAAGTTTCCTATAAAAAGATCCAAATATGAACAATCTGACGCAAATGCGTGCGTAACGAAAGAACGATTTGCAAGAAATCTGAAATAAGATGAACAACCTGGAATACGTTAATGTGTAACTAGTTATTTAACGAAGCTAATAAGAGAATCTTGTTAAATAGCATCTTCTGATTATGCATCAATTATATCCGCAGACGTACACGCCATCTTTCTTATTTAAATTTTTTCCTTCCTGTTTGTACTTTAAATCGAGCCTTCTGGCTCAGCGAGCAGGTTGTTTCGCCGTAGCAGACCGAACTCCTTATTAACCTGCTCCTTTTTCATCCCGACTCGAGAACACTGTCGACGTGGTTGCCAGCAGTTTAGAGCTCTCACGCAGCCACCTGTTCAAATGCTAAAACAAGAACAAAGTAAAACAGAGCTTCAGACGAAGCAAATATTTCTGAAATGTACCGCGAATCTATCCACGATATTATTTCTATCTTTTAAAATTCAACATATTATCCTTGAAATTCATTCTGATTTTTATAGGACATGGATTTAATTAAGAAGAAAAGTATTACAGTATATTGAGAATAAGATATCCGAGATTTTAAGGGCATATAGTATTCGCCAGAATTTGATCAGTTATTTCAGAGTTCTCGATGTGAAATGTATTTTCGTATCTTCTGAGCACGGTTAACGAGCTTAATTTATCTTGAATTAAAGTGTAAATGGAAAGCGCATACATATCAGACAATGGAGAACAAGGCAAGAATATTTGAATATATTACATACAATGTTTCATAATTTGTCATTCGCACATGAATTGCTGTATTCCAATGGAAGGATGACACATCAAATAGTCCTTGCGAACGGAGGAAAGAAATTGACTTTTGATTCTATGTTATTCAGTAAGTGTTATAAAGACTTGTAACATTTAGCTATAAATACATATTAGAATACATACAAGATAACATTATTTAATACAACACACTTTTTAGAAAACATTATGCTCCCACGATATCGTGTTGCATAATTGTATTATGTCTGAATCACAATCCATGCCAACGATATCACTCATAAACTAACGAGTGAACATCGATAATCGGATGAGTGTAATTATCTTTATTAATGCCACGGCGTTATTGTGGCTACACAGATAAATATCCAAGGCACGATAAGAGATCGATCTCGTGTTACAGCGCAGATAAAAAGAATCGATCGTCTCCACATAGTCTGGCCATTTGGTTGATAAAACGCCGCCGCCTCCCATCCTGACAGATCCATTCATTGCTCTCAACGAAACGCGAGTTATTAAAGAATTACAATCGTTCTGTTTTCGTGCAAGGGTAATTACATGGCCGCTTGCTTACGATCAATATGACGAAACAGAAGCTCAAATAAAAGAAACGAATAATTATCCAATATGTTCGATACATTATATCGTTACGAGATTTCCACGTGTGCACCGAGAGCATTTACTAATTGCCATCCTCATCGCTTTTATTGTCACTTTCTATTCATACGATCCTTCCGTGACGTAACTTTCGCGAAATAAATTCACTGAATGATTTACCATTACATTCTAGAGAATATTCGACAACGTTAGAGAACGTATCGACAAAATTTTGGCAGGTGTATTCATTCGATCAGGTACATTCACGCACATTCTTACACGAAGCTCGTATAAACACAAGCATACATACACGAGAAAGCCGGTGAACGGTAAAGAACAGGTATTTAAATGAAAAACCGGATAGTCGATTCTACCTGGCTCGGTAGAGGACGCCACGTCCTTCTCGAGCAAGTGCTTACGTGCCAGACAACTTCCAAGACCCTTCTCCTCCTAACCCGAACAACTCTCTTTCTCGCTTATTCATCGACACATACGCTCGTCCTTTCGCTCGCTCGATCGTTTGCTAACGCGTTCGCTTGTTCACTTGCGCGTCCCACCTGGCTGCTTATTTATCTATCTACACATTCGAATATTCGTCTTTCACTCGCTCGCTCATTCACTTGTGCTTGAGGTTCCCTTCATGTGGCGCGTTCGTTCTCTCCCTCGGTCTTTACGCTTTACTCGTTCTCGATCCTTCTTTCTCACCTCCTCTTTACGTTGCTTTATGTATGTGCGCTAGTATGTAGGTTTGTGTGTGCGTGCACACGCTCAAGTCTGGCCCAAGCCCTCTCCCCACTCCCCGAAGAACCAGTCGATGTTCCCACTCCGGGTGTCTCGCCGTGCCCCATCGCGAGGCCCAACTTGGTCCCCACCTAGCGAACGAAACTGCATGAGTAAGTGTCAGAGGCACTCAGTACAGTTACTGACGGCCCGTACCGTGAACGATCGCCGTCGTCGACCGTTGTCACCGTGTCGTCGTGTCGTCGTCGAACAGAGTCGGATTCTACCATGCGCTGCTCTTGATAAACGTATGCGGTTAGTAAGTGGCGGCTACTACTCTCTCTCTCTTTCTCTCTCTCTCTCTCTCTTTCTGTTTCTTTGCTTCCTCAGAATCCACGCTTTCGTTCCACTAGACTTGTTCTCCTCTGTCTTCGTTGTTCAAACTGCTTCCCAGGCAGACAGATTTTCTGCGACGTCATCGCGACGCCGAATGTTCGCGGCTGTTTTGTATTTCGCGCAAAGAGTTATATTTAAAGAAGTCCCTCGAGTGTCGTAGTCGCGATCAATCGATAATACAACGACGGGATAACGATCTTGGACGAAATGCAGTGTCATCGATTGTCACGACTTTCGATCGACTAACGACCAGGAGTATAGGTTGAGAGTTATGTCTGACTCATTTTGTGCAACAATTTGGTGGAACAACGTGGTGAATTAAATTCTACTCGGGCTAAAGTAAGATTTTACGATAGAACTTAGAATAGACAAATTGACACTTCTCAAAGATTTCGTTTACAGTACTACCGGAGCTTGCAATATGTCGCGCCATATGTTGAGTTCCTCGATGTGAAATTCCGATCAGTGACACTGAACGTCACGTCATTCATAAACCAGGTTCATCGCGTATTAAGTCCAATGAAAGTTATTTCATTTTACTAATTCCAATTAACTATCCGTGGCAACAACTTGTTGCGCGTGTACATAAAATACCGACTGAAAATTCGAATCAAATTATTGCACGTTCCAGACACTTGCTTACACACAATCGAAAACCACTCATTCTTAAAGAAACGTAATCACAACAGTACCCTAACACAAACTTCTATTTCTGTAAAGAAATTAGAAAATAGTAATTTTCCCCGAAGAAAGGAAGCGAAAGAGAGGAACAAGCGAAAACAGAGAGAAGAGAAAGCAAAGGATCGTTCGGTTGATGACCAGGTGTACCTCGTCGACGAAGTGACAGTGCCTTCGAATGTGTATATGGACGAGATCGCCGAGATGACCGTTCCACCGACACTGCCGGCGAAGACTCAGCCCCGGGACGTGAGTCAAGTTGCCCGACAGACTGTGTCAATCCGGACTGTTTCCAGTCCCCCCACAGCTCCTTTGAGTACAGGGGCCGGAGCAACGGTATTTGTCGGACTGGCCGCTCCTGACGTCGATTCCGCGGCAGCCTGTAGGAGAAGAATCCCGGAAGTGCAAGCCGCGAACGGCTACGGTAAGCAGAGCAGCGTGAAGTCTGTTCAGAGCACGCAGAACCAGCAACAACTGCACCACGGGCAACAGCAATACCATCAACAGCAGCAGGCGGCTCATGTGGTGAAGATCAAGATCAACCCGGATGGTGATAAGAACGGAAGGGTGATATCGACCGTACGATTGACGCTGGACGAGAACATCGCCCACGAAGCCGAGCAGGAGAACGGGATCGCGTGCGAACGTTCGAGCAAGCGTGACGGTGGTGTGGTCGTGAGTGCGACGAATCTGGTGAACGAGCGGCGTTGTGGAAGTGTCGGTGCCGGTGACGGCTGTGTGAGGATCAGTGTTGGCTCGAACGCCTTCGAACGCAACAATAACAACAAGGATAAGCGTAATCGGAACGACGACAGCTCGGAGAAAGAGATGGTTCATCGTGAAACATCGGAGCCTTTGAATACGTCCTCTCCGAACAATCGTTCGGGCTCTTGCTTTTACTATAATTCGTATCCCAGCCAGTTGAACGGGATGGTGATGTCCAGTGGACAGTGTTCACCGAGTGACACCTTGGACAGCGGGACCTGTAGCGACCTGGATGGCACACCGCCGCCTCTTCCTAAGAAAAAGAACGCCAGCACGGTTATCCTGGCGAGTGATCAACACAATCGTACGGGTAGTCTGACCAGCAGTGGAGCAGAAGTTGATAGTGACGACAACGAGAGCAGTATTAGCTGCGATTCTTTAAACGGTGGCGAGTTGAGCGACAGAATAATCGATGGCGGTATCAATGGAAATGGTGTCGAGGCTGATCGAGCATCCTTAGAATTCCAAGAACACTCGGAGAATGATCGTGTGAAGAACGGAGTGGATCGTCAAAAATATAGAGACACGAACGACACTATCGTGAGTCTAAACAGACTAGACCTGTCGAACGGTCAGGAAGAACGAACGAACGAAGAATCCACGCCAACTGCATCGACTCCGGAAGTCCACTCGAATTCTTGCTCGTCCAGAGCTTCTCCTAGTGTTTCTCCTTCACCTTCTGGTACTTCCTCTTTATCAAAAGCCTCTTCCACTCCAAGGATCAGAAGCCCTGATCCGAACATAGAACAAAATGGCAGGTTATCGTCGCCAGTGGTGAAAGAATGCACTTACGAGGAGAGGAAGCAGGAACAGGAGAGGTTAGAGCAGGAGTCGGTTGCTAACGACATCGACACCAGCATCAATCCTCTGACTGGGAAGAAGTACGTGTACGAGTACGACAGGTTCTACAAGTTTCACGTGAACGAATTGAAGGGCAACAATAAAGACACTAGCAGGGGAGTGGTGTTAGGCGATAAGGACACCGATGAATGTTTCGCTGGTTACAAGATCCTCGAGAAGGAAGCCATACGCAGTGCCAAGGGAACTGTCCGTGGTGTCAAAAACAGGGTGCGCGCAGGAATCGCGACATTCCTTCAAAAACCATCCTCTCAGGTTCGTACCATTAAATTTCCTATTCTATCTAAGTATATATCACATACAGTATGTTCCTCAGAGCTCGAAGGAATTTCTGTTGCGTGCCAATTAACGGCCGATCCTAGTTAGCAAAAGGAATGTTAAACAGGTACCCAGGGAAACGAATGAAAAGTTTAAATTAAGCGATGTTTATCGGCGCCAGAGGCGGCGATGTTTGCGGAACGTTATCCACGTAGCAAGCGCGAAAAAGAAAACGTGTTTCTCCACAAAGTACGAGAAATAAAAGTACATAGCTTCCGGTAAAGTTCAAAGGACCCCTCTAGAAAATGATGGTTACTTTTCGACTTCGTGAAATCACTCGATAGACTTCTCGACCTTAAAAGGTGAAAGGAGTGTTCAAAGGTCAAAGGGACAGGATACCGAAAAAATTTGCGAATCGTTGGTTTTGATTTCACCAAATACCGCGGCACATGGAACGATGACTTCTGTGACCGCATTCGCGCGCGAATAGTTGGCTTTCGCTGTCATCGACGCGTTCGTGAGTAAAAATCTCATCAAAGGTATCAAAATGAAACGTGAAACGATGTCATTTATTGTCCCGTATGTATCCCGTTGACGTGCTTTAAATATCGACTCCCTATAGCCTGCATTGTCTAGCAGTCCTCGTAAACGTCGCGTCGATTTGTTATGCAAATCAGTCACTGACACCGCGATCGCTCGACACGAACGTTTCGACACGGTCCAATCGAACGGTATCGAATGGCAAGTTCGAGCTGTTGTCGGCCACGGTAGCTATCTATTTACGCCACTCGCGTGATACACTTGATTCGCGTCGACGACGACGACGGCTACCGGTCAACGACGGGTTGCCGAGCGAAAAGCGTTAGATTTACAGTTAGATCACCTCTCTCTGGCTGACCAGTTTGGATCGACCAGTTGACTGGCATCGATCGATGACGTAGACGGCGTCCCATGTGGTCCTACTGCAAGGTTTCCGGTGTTGCCATGCGAGTATCGTGCATAAGACGTCGGCGTCGAACAGAGAAGAGAATCGTTCACGGCGTCGATGCAGAACGAATCGACATAACGGTAGATCCGATAAAACGATCTTACGACAACGCGTAGGGGATCACGCTCCCTAGTTGTCCCTATTTGAAAACCGGTCTTCCTCCACTATCTTGTTTGCCACTATCTTTTTCTTCCTCTTCGACAACCACCCTAGACAGTGTCCTCGTTACGTGTTCTCCGTTTGCATCGAGTTTTCTGCTTTACTGTACACGTGCGATTACGTCGATATTTGCGCCCGCGTGCTGCGCGCCCTTATCGATACGCGTGTGGTCGCGCGGTCTATTTCGCGAAATTACAGAGAAGAGACCGAATTGCACGCGCCTCTTCTTGCAACAGGCTGCCGAGTAATCACGCATTCACTACAGCTCGCTGTCCCTAGGGATTTCGCATATTGCTTCCATCAACGCGTTTCACGTGAACGTGCCTGGCTCGTTCGTGGCTTATAGCTCGATCATAGGGCGAGTCAAAAAACTGTTATCGAGAATTCTTTGTATTGATCCGATAAAAACGAGTGTATTATGTATGGTCACTCTTAAAGGGGTTTATTTGCGGTTGGATTTAGACAATTCTGTGTAATATAATCAGAAACTTTTATTTTAATTTATACGTTAGTAAATCACGGAAACTCTGCTTATAGAATGTAAAACGCAAGAGTGAGTTTCATGCTTCGAATAACGAGCACGAGCTTTCGTTTTATAAAAATTCGATATTGTATATGCTTTGCAAATAATACATATTTGCGGAAAGATTTCGATATGGGACTTGATTTTCGCGTTGAATTTACTTCAAATGGGTTGTTCGAAATCGATGTCTCTGCTTTACGATCTTTCTATGCTATGCAGGTTTCATGGAAATTATACACGGATCTTGCTGATCGTACAAGGATTACGCATAAGTATGATATTTATTGAATCGATTGCACATCGTTCGATACCACCGGGATGAAAACAATCGAACATAAAGTCGGTTGGGAATATTCAATGCAAGACTCGATGTTCTACTTTCTTTCCGCTGCGAGAGTTTATTTACAGCATCAGATGAACCAATTTTAACTTTTATCCTATTTTGAATAAATGTAAAATATACAACAGTGGCGATTTAATTGGCAAAATGAATTGAAATAGAATTAATTTTTCCATTTCGTTCCGTTATTAATTATTATTATCAACGTTATTATATACTCCACCGTGCTACTTTCCCTATTTCATTTATCGTCCTTCCACGGGAAACATTAGAAATCATAGAAACCTTCTTTTTGTGTGCTACTTTTGCTTTGTTCTTAATAGTTTTGTACTATACCACAAACTTACGTAACAAAACAATAATAATGGTAATAATCCAAGGTTATAGATACTTCTGTTCAGTTCTAAACTAGAAAGAAACATCTAGAAACCTTAAAATGACCGTTTAATTTAACGAGATGCTCATATATGTATAGCCATAAAGGAGAGGTTTAAAATTCAACATTACTGATTCCATCGTCGTAACTTTAATTAATTTGATTATTTGCTGAAGTTTACATATACCATGGCACGTATTGTGGAAATGGTTGAACCTTTGATGCAAGAGAGAACGCCTCGTACAATATTTGCCACTAAAGCAACGTAATGGCCGCGTTTCGCAACGCGTTTCTTAAAGCCTCTTTGCAACAGGTACATTTACGGGAGTCATTTACTTAGTGACAATTTTCCTTGGTTTCTTAACGCGTTTCATTAGAAGCAGAGGAGAAAAAAAAAGGGAACACCACGTTACGGTCAATGTTCTGACATAACGACCGCCCGGAGACTGAATCTCTCGTGAAGCAAAGATTAGAGAGAACATTCGTTGAGAGGTAATCTGCGGCTGGCTCTGTCGTAACTGTGTACTGTTTTTCTCGCTGTAGAGAAATAAGATCGGCGGGTATGCAACTCATTTCATCAGTTGGCACACGAAAATATGTCACGGTTAGCTTGAAAACCAACCATACAGGTTGATTTGCTCTGTTATGGTCCTATTAAGAATGAATCATGTGTAGATGGTATATTAATTATGTGAGTAGTCGACGATCCTAACAATACTGGAGTCTTGGTGTTAAATGTCTCTATTATCGAATGTTCCACTTTGATTTATGTGTCTGGTGTGTCTGGTCTTCCTTGATTGCAACGTTTAGATATAATTTGAAGCAGGGATTTCATTAGCCTGTTTCTTGTTTCTCTAGTTTTTATAAGTGAAGTGGTACGAGTAAGAGAGAGTAGATCACAGTGAGACGTGATGCACAGTGAGACAAAGATTGCTTTACCAAAAAAAAGTGTATACCTCGCGAACAAAATAATAGATCTAAAATTTTCAAAATTGAAAGTGTCCATATGAAGTTCTTGAAGAATATGTGTAAATATTTATTACCTTTTTTAATGGAAAAAAATATACAAGAAAATACCACTTTTATCTCGCTGTATACGTACCGTATATATTGTCTCCTATTTTTATAACGGAGGGTTTATTTGCTTTACGTTAGACGCGTGCAGCTAACTCGAATACAAAGTTCCAATACAAAGGTTGCTTGAATTTTTATGCAAATTTATATATTACATAAATGTAAGAAATTACTACCAAGAAATCTCAAACTTCGATGACTTGTCTATGCAATTCTTATATACTTGTTAATTTGTTCATACAATTCTCAGTCTTAATGAATTTCAAGAACACGGAGATTCCGCTTGTTGCTCGGAGTGCCGCGACGCGCGATGAGAAAACGCAGAATAGGAAGTCACGTGGCTACTTCCGCATAGTTAACAATATGAAACTAACGTTAGATATCGCACAGCGCCGCTGACATAACAGAACACAAACGAACGGAAAGCGCTGTTGTAATTTCCTGGTATATACGAAGCGGTGTTGTGCATCAAGATGCATTGATGAAAAGGGATTCTTTTCAATTCCTCACTGCCTCGTATCAAACGTTATCGGTGTATTATCGTTCACGTAATGTCGATGCTGCATTCATTATGATTCTCGCGTAATCCTTGCCTTTATGGCGAGCTTCACGCGATCTTATTGAGTCTAGAAAGTCGTCGAGGTTATTCAAGACCAGTAGGCTGCAGCGAAATTGCTTTTTTCAGGTCGTTTGCGCTCTTTCAAAACGATTTACTAATCGTGCTTATCATTTATATTAACATCTTATTTTCATGATTTATTTAATTACAGTTAATTTAGTTACAGTTGTTAGATGGTTGATAATTGAATAATTGGCTTCATGGTTATTGCGCAAAGATAAAAACCTGCTGTTGCATTTAGCGCAATAAATATTTTTATACGGTTCGTGGATTTTAATTGATATTAATATTACACAAGTAATTGGTTTAAAACATGGATAAACTACTGAGAAGTGGCAGGAACTTATGAACTTACGGGTTTCCTTGTTTTTTCATTGAATCAAGCCGAAAGTAAATATCCGAAATTTACGTACCATATTTTATTTACCAAGCGCAAACGTATTACCTAATCCCTATGTTTCTCTCCTTTTAACATCCTGTGTAATCCAAATATATGTGCCAATACCATTTAAGCAGCTTTCCAACTGACACCCTACACAAAAATATAAATTGCACTGTTTTTTCAATCCAAGTTAACCTTACTCTAGCTTAGTTATGTAACCTGACATGGTTCACGTTCCACGCCGAAGGTTCAACAAGAAATATGTAGCAGCAGGTGGACACGATGAAACGTAAACGCAATCTAATATCTCGAAACACACACGTGGCTATATCGTATTTTTCAACCGGACAAGCAGCACTAGACGTGCAATTAAAACTTCAGAATTTTGTCCAACAAATAATTCAGTTTCGGAATGCGTCCACTAAATTAATTAGATTAATTCCAATTTACGGTACACGAAACGCGAACACGAGTCAGCTCGTTTTAGCGACAGAAATGTTACTGTTGATGGAAGAAAAAATGCCCTATTCGATCGT